AGATTATGAAGGATAAAAACCTGCATATTAAAACAAAAAGTAAACTTTTTAACACATGCATATTACCAGTTCTTATGTACGGCAGCCAAACATGGACTCTGTCACAAAACATTATTAATAAACTGGCAACATGTCAATATGCAATGGAAAGGAGCATGATGAATGTAAAAAGATCTGATCGATTAAGAAACTGCATAATAAGAAGTAAAACGAAGGTTACGGACATAACGAGTAAAATATGGAGACTGAAGTGGAAATGGGCAGGACATATGATGAGAGGAAAAGACAAGTGGAGCAAAATTGTTACGAGATGGTACCCAAGAGAAGGAAAAAGAAAGAAAGGAAGGCCTCAGAAGAGATGGGATGACGATATTAGATAAGTGGCAGGCGTCACATGGAACAGAGTGGCTCAGGAAAGAAGAGAGTGGAAAAGGTTGGAGGAGGCCTTTGCCGACTGGCAAACAGATTTCCAAAAACTATACAAAAGCTATATAAGGGATTAAATTTTAAGTTAGTATTTACATTATTTTTAGATTAAGTTTTTAATGTATTTTCCTTTGTAACACTGATCTAAATCTGAATAAAGGCTATATTATTATTATTATTATATATATATATAAATGAATTTCCGTTTGTTAGTCTCGCTTAAACGGTTGAACAGTTTTGGCCAATTTTGGGTTCTCAGAAGTAAAAGAAGGGTTTAAAATATGAGAAAAAGTTTATATGTCGTTTGTTCAGCTAGTATAATCACTACATAGTATAAAACAAAGTCGTTATCCCCCATCTGTCTGTCCCTATGTATTTAGATCTTTAAAACTACGCAACGGATTTTGATGCCGTTTTTTTTTAATAGATGAAGTGATTCTTAAGGAATATTTATATGTATAATACATGCATATTGCACCCGTGCAAAGCCGGGCAGGTTGCTAGTGTAAAATAAAGTTATTATTAGTTTCTTCGAATGGATTGGTAGAGGCGTAACCTGATAAATAGCGTGATATATTTTAATTAGGACTTTCATCAAGTTTATCGCTTAACAAGCAAATAATCTTTAAAAATCTTCGAATAAATTACAATTTGTAGTTGATACTTCTAGAATCTTTCTATTCCGACATAGAAAGAAAGAAAAACCATTTAATTTGCTACTACACACATTAAGAATTTAGGTACACACAAAAAAGCTCATGGTGCGTCACAGCGCAAAAGGCTGGAGCTCAGCTTAATACCGTGGACCGGGCACAGAGGCTCGAGCCCATGGCGCTGATTTTCAGCACCAGCCTGTTATAGTACGTACTAGTTACTACGGTAACGCTGTTCGGAGCAAGCATGATGTAAATAATAAAATTAATATAAAAGTGAAAACAAAATCAACAGAAACATAGGTCTTATACCACAAAATACAAACATTTAACACAAAATTCACGTGTGGAATAGATTTAAAGACTTTCCAAACAATAAATTGTAGGTAATTGACACACACGGAAGCCATCTTTGATTGATACATAAACCTACCTATGTAACCACGTGCAACTTACAGTACATTACAATGCAGGAGACAGCGCATCAATCGAGTAACTTGACTGTAGAATTGTTTACTTTATTTGTTTCGTAATAAAGTCGAAAGTACTCAATTAACAATTTGGAGTAACTTTATGCAGCGATATCTGTGCATTCAGAGATTGAGCATGCGATGCGATCTACCGCAGAGTTCGCTTTAGTCATACAAAGTGTATTAAATCTCCAGTTCAGTTCGTATTCATGTAATATGCAGCTAATATAATGATAATGAGCGTGCGTTTAACGAGCGTGTGCCTGTTGCGAATGAAGCGTGACGGAGTCGGGTGCGTTTGGCACAAGTTGAGCCGACCAAGGTTGGGGTTGCCAGTGGTGTAGCAGTTAGAATTCTGCAGTAGAACTAATGGTTGGAGATTCGTATACTGACGATAATATTTTCTACCTAGTTCATAATGTCGAAGGCTTCAAGAACAAGAAGTTATGGGGATTCATTATGTTAGTTCTTTTTTGGGCAGTTGCTGCTGTAGATATGAGGACTGGCTTGCAGGAGTTGCAGTGATTGATAATGAGGATGTGTGACAGGCACCCGAATAAAAGTTAAGGATGTCTGTTGGTTTAGACAATTTCCGTTATGTTTAAAGACGGAAATGTGCCCGGTATATGGCAATAGGCTTACCCCCTATTACATGGGACTCATAACATAATAGTGAAAAGTGGGTGTTACATTGTACAGTGGCATTAAGTGCCGTAATGTGCACCCCTGTCTACCCCTTCGGGGATAAAAGGCGTGATGTTATGTTATGTTGAAAGAAGATATCTACCACACCTATTATGGTTAATTACTCGGTTAAAAATCTAAGATTTTCCAAAAAAATACGTTAGAAAAGTTCACCACGCTAAATTCTACCCTTTTTGTACTACATTCCATAACAATGTAAGAGCTGGCCACCCAGCGTGCGCAGCCGCATGTATCGATGAATTAATTAAGTATAGTAACACCGGCTACAATATAATTACTGCCAGTTCACTATGGGTCGGACACCGACACACGGAACGCTTCCATGGAAATATTACTATTTAGGGTGTTTTTAATATCGTGCGGATATCATCACGCGTGCGGGATTGCCCCGCATGCGTAAGCCCCGCAAATGTCCTTTTCATAAAAGTATTTATTATAATGCGTGGAATACGGACGCGGGACTATAGACTATCGGGTTTCACGCTGCGTGAAATTTTCTGCATGCGGGGCAATACCGCACGCGTGACGAAATCCGCACGATATTAAAAACACCCTTATCAGTTTTTCTTGGAAGAAAAACCTTAGATGGTAGATACATGGTAAAGAAACTATTGAAATGTATAAAAAGAGGGGTTTACTGATTGGATTATGTATGAAGTCAATGATATAGGAAAGATATAAGAAGTTCCAAACACCTATAATTTATAGGTGTTTGGAACATGATGTCTATAGGCTATAAATCGCCGCCTGACCAGATCCAGACCCGAGCGTACGCGCCTCAATCAGACCACCACGGATGGGGCCCAATAGGGCTGATGCCGATTCAGAGCCGCGGAGAACCTAACGGGTTACCGGGGCTCCGGTTCGAAGTGCAGGAGAAGGAACGGGGTGGTTTTTAGTCAGTAAGAGTCAGTCACTCCCTCCCGCCTCACCCAGGCGAGAGAAGTCATTCGATGATTTATCCCCTTAAAAAAAGGGAATATGTTCTAATAGCCGAAATAAATTAAATTAAAAGAGAACATATACAAATCTAATGAAATCAACATAAAACGTGTGATGAAGTACATGTTTTTGGTTAGACATACTTATATCTAGTTTTTGTGAAGTAATGTTTTGTAAGTAAGGTTCAAAGTTGAGTGAGCAAAAACCTGTACACTCAAAGTAAAAATGACGTCACGGCTTGTGGTAAACTTGGCATGATGTGCGATGTTTCCAGCTGTAGAGTCAGTAAAATAACAACACAATGTTAACAATTTTTCATATTCATCTTAATAATTATGTGTGATAATGTAACAAATAAGAAAATGATAATAGATACCTACATACATACATAACTTCACGCCTGTCTCCCATGGCGGTACGCAGAGACTATGGAACGCCAATAGATACGATTCCTACATACCTCTTCGCTTCGCTTCATTAACAGTCATCAATCAGTTATTTATTTTTTTACTTATTTTTATTTATTCATTTGTTCATGCATGCTCGTCGGTTCAGGGTAAATAATAGTAGTACTTGTTCTAAGAAAATGAAAATAATATTCTAAGGGCATAAGTCAATAAGTCGGTTTTTTATTGATAACATAATAGATACATTTACTAAAATTGGAGCAGAGGAGGTTGTTTTAAGAGGTTGCTTAAATAGTTTTAGTGATTCTGTTGAATTCGTGAAAAAAAAAAAATTTTTTTTGCATAAAAAATTGTAAGTAAAGATAACTGATTTGAAGTTGGAACCTAAACTTAAAACGTCTGAATCTTGTTTCCAATGGAATAATTGTTTTGCGAACTGTATAGGTATATACGTCTTTCTTACGTTTAAGGTGAACGACATGTTCAAAAAAAGTTGTTTACTCATCGACCGCACTGGACAAAAATTAAACATCCTGAATTATTGAATATTTAATATACCTACCGATATGTAATGACTGACAATTTCGCAGAATTATAATGTGTACTCATTTGAGGCTTCAGATGCACTAATGTATGATACCTGTACGATTTGATTTTGTTTAAAAATGAGACTTAATTTTTGGATATACTCTCTCGGTCTTATTAATAAACATCTCCTATTCCAAACTTAATTACAGGTTAGTTTTGGACTAGCTAATCCCGGACTAACAAAGTATTAGCATCGGAATTGAATTCCTATTAATAAACATGGAATAACCTCGGAGTAACAATATCTATGTATAACAAAATATAGTAACTTAGTTATAGAATATTTTTAACCCATCTATTATAGTATTGTATAGTATGGGAACGCAGTGCCAATTCTAATGGAGTGTAATTTTTTTAATCTCTCTAACCTCAGTAACTCTTGTAGCGCCTAGGAAAAGTTACTTAGCAAAACAAAAAGTATGTAGATGTAAACATTGCAGCTACTTTTACAGGGACATTTATACGATCGAATTAAAACTTACCTTTATTTTATTATATACTTATATCTATAAATATAGACATATAATATTCGGTGGTCGTGCAACACAAGTGCTGATAAACGATCGTGTAATTTAATAGAACGAACATAATTTTAGACACAAAATCATGCACATATCATTTAAATAAGACAACATTGAATTTATTTGTCAATAAGAAAAACAGTTCAGTAGAAATCTTATCCGGAACACCGACGTCATTGAACAGAAAACGTGCAACACATTCAAACGAAGAAATGAAGAGATTTTTTGCTAAAAATGTATATTGTTATTAGTGCCACAGTGCATGCCATACTATATTCACTAGCTTACGTGTGAGCGCGTCTCGTAGCGCAATGCCTAGTGACGTCAGAGCGCCGCGCAGCCTCGCGTGGTATCGCACGAACATGCGAATATCTACGCAAGTTACATTATCGCTACATATTTGTAGTGGAACACATGCACACGTATTGCCAAAAAATATCATTCAAACACCTATAAATCGAATTTAAAATGCCTACCAGGAAATATGTTCTGGGCCTGCGGAAGGCGAGCATGGGTGGCTCGTCGCCCGACCAGAACCAGACCCATACCAACAAATATCATTCAATTCGGGGATTTTTGGAGTTGTATCTGCATTTATGGTGGAAAACCAACAATATTACATGTAAACAAGCCATAACTCGTCATTCAAAAGTTTAATAAAACAGTTTGAAAGAAACATTTTAGGTACAGGCGCGAACTACATTTGGAGGGCCTAGCGCTATCTATCTTCAACTCTAAGAAACTATCTGCGCCATCTATAATTTGCGCTAAGAACTATTACTTACATGCAGGATGGTCGTAGAGCGGCGCCACTCTCGTCCCCTCTAGCGGCCCGCCGGCTAACTTAGCCGAGATGGTTTCCAGAAATTCTCTGATCTTCTTAAGTTCCCCTCGAGTGGCATCGCTGGGGCCAGGGACATTGTACTCGTCAGATTCTTCCTCTGAAATGGTATAAAAATAGGATTTCTAAAATATATTTTCATAGATACTTAGAGCAAATCCTATTTTCAAGATGGTGGTTACCTTCTTCAAACATTTTGCCAAAAGCATTCAATTCATAATTAGCCTTTTAAACTTTCGACAGAGTCACCATCAAGTTTTTTAATTTAATATCATACAAACTGTCGTAAGCTTTGTCGCCGTTGCAGGAAGTACGCAACTAGCAACAGGTACAAGAAATAGTTGAAACACAGCTTATATTTCCACACACGGCACCTATGGCTGCTCACCGGCGTTTAGAAAGGTTTCCTTGATTATTTAGAGGTGTACTACAACTAGTACTTTACGTTCAGAAACAACCATTTAGCTACAGAGACATATATCGAGGGGTAACGGACTATTTGGTTTAAGCGACATTTTGGGCGATATTGTGTTATTATATATATTCGACGGAGAAAAATTCGCTGATTCCGAATATATATATAACTCAATATCGCCCAAAATGTCGCTTAAACCAAATAGTCCGTTACCCCTCGATATATAATATGTATTTTTAACGTTGCCCCACACTAGGACTTTTCCTGTGTCGTGAGTGCGTTTACAAACATACAATTTCACATACACATGACACCCAGATCCGAAACAACAATTTGTGGAACACACAAAGAGTTGTTCCGTGCGGGAATCGAACCCGCTACACGTTACACGGTAGCCTTACCCCAGCCACCTCATCAACGTATGTAGAAGTAATATATATATCTGTGTACAGTGCAAACATGTTTGTCAACTGCACTGGATCTAGCGCCTGGCTTAAACTTAGGAGCTCTATGTTATTTCAAGATTGATTTGTTTCAAGCTTACAATAATCTTATTCATATTGGTACCATTTGTATTTCTTCAATCTACGTTGTTTACCTATGACTTTTTTCTTTTCTCCTTTCTTATTTTTTTGACACCCAGACCCGGAACAACAATTTGTGGATCAAACAAAGAGTTGCTCCGTGCGGGAATCGAACCCGCAGCCGGTTACTCAGCCACCGCGCCAACCATGCAGTCAATGATATGTCTTGGTTTTAAACACGTCGTATAATAACAAACAGCCTCCGCTTAAGTTTACTAAGGTTTTATTACTATGTACTGAGTACTGACCAATCTGCTCGAGCTTCTCAGTGGAGATGCTCCACGGCATCACGCTGATGGCTCGCTGTATCTGCTGCAGGAACCACGCGCCCGACTCGAACTTCACCGGTCTGGAATTTACATAGCATGGCATTAAGCGTACACCATCAACAGTCTGCTGCAGGACTAAGGGCTTCCTCTAGAGGTACATAAGAAGGGTTTGCCATAATTTTAATGGTGGACATGGTTGGTGATTACAGTTTAGAAGCTTTAGGTTTATCAAGGAACATGGAATTAAGCTCCGTGTTGCCACGATCTAATCACTCCTTAAAATTCAGGAATTTTGCTTCAAAAATCTCATTTGCTTAGTCTTATAATGCGGCTGGAATCATTCCATTGCTATATTTTATGTCGTATTATAACAATGATGAAAATTTTGAATACAAAAGGTGTCGTTGCCTACAAAACATCTCATAGCTTCTATCTAAACAAACAGAACTTCTTAATGCATTGAATCATTAAATCAGACGTTGCCAACTGCAGCATCCAAAATCGTTATTCCGTGAAAATCTCCGGCAAGGCTACCTATATTCCATGCATCACGCACATTCATCATTTGTATACGTTTATCATAATCGTAGTTATTATAAATGTTCATAAATGATTTGTTAATCAGCTGCTAATTAGTCCATGAGCTGGTCTTACAGCCTTAATCAATATAATAAGGTTGTGGAATATAATTACTTGTATAGTTTTGACTAGAAGTTAATCATAGAGTTCAATAGCATCTATTAAATTTAAGATTAGAGTGGTAGATTTCTCTAAGTTTCCAATAAAAAAAATATTTTATTTATGGTATAACTACTATAGTTTATTTCTACAAAATGGCACGGATTGACTTCGAAAACAAACATGAAGGCGTTCAAGCGCCGATTTCGACGCAGACACCATGGCTTGTCCGCGAAAAATCTCAAAATCAAACATAAAATGTACTTAGGAGATTAATACATAAACTCTCGAGTTACGTTTATGGATTGGCAAAGGCTACTGAACCAATAATGTGTAAGGAATTTGGTGCAGATACTCACTCTCTCGGATAACAGATGCAGGGCAGAGCTCCACCGTGCTTGTCGCCGCCGCACCTACGACAGATGCCGTCGTCCTGAGCTGATGTGATGCATCTTCCGGAGACGCGGTCGTTCCTGAAATTGTATAAAAATGTTAATAAGTGTCTACGGTTTTAATCTATCTATTGTTTTAAGTGTGGGAGAGCCATGCTTCGGCACGAATGGGTCGGCTCGACCAGAGTGATACCACGGCCTCAGGAAACCGACGTGAAACAACGCTTGCGTTGTGTTTCGTCGTGTGAGTGAGGTTACCGGAGGCCCAATTACCCCCCTCCCTAGTCTCCTGAATCCCCGTATTCCCAATTTCCTAAAGGCCAGTAACGTACTTGTAACGCCTTAGCGTTTCGGGTGTCCATGTGCGGGGCCGATTGCTTACCATCAGGTGATCCGTACACTCGTTTACCAGCTTATGCTATAAAAAAAATCTACGCAACTTGATAAATTGAAAACTAAATCGAGGATAGCTCAGTGATTTAAGACAAACAAGGTCAAATGACGATCAGCGGGTAAGGGTAGCCTTATGGGTTCGAATTTTTGGATTTTTTATTACATGGACATAGTTGATAGTCAGTACATTGATGATATATAGGTAAATACTCAGTTATGGAGATATGTTGTTGTCTAAACAGTTACTAAACATCTCGTAAGGTGTTACATCTGCGCCAGTATGATAGTGAGTTGCTCAAATCGAGGTAATTACGTTGCTACATCCTACACCTCGATATTATGACAGCCTAGTACTTATACATTTTTCTTTGAGTATTTACTAACATTATAAATGTGAAGGATTTGCATATATGAGAGAAGATATTGCGAATACATACTTACTTAGGTAAATATTGTATTGGGAAAAATATGTAAAAAAAATATTGTATTCTGGGTTAGGGTGCAACTTCATTACGATAAGGATGTCGTACCGTTTGACTTCTAATATTATTGTACAATGAATGATGTTGAAGAGCTGGATAAATGATCAACCCTAATATGCAAAAAATACAGCCAGCTTTTGTGATTTTGAATACGAAACCTCAACATTTAACGCAGGACATTCATCATTCATCATTAGAATCAATTCTATTGCTTGGAAGAAATCTGAATATGGTACCCAAATCGGGCTTTAAACCCCCTAAGAATAAGAACTATTTAATCCCAACATAGTACCTGCAATCTAGTAATTGGTAACTGCAGTAAGCTACACAATCATTCGAAGAGCAAGGCACCCAAACAACTCATTAAGAACATAAAAGTTATTGACCATCCCATTACCAACAGCTACCATCATTCTGTGCAACAGACGAACAAACAAATTGTTAATTCATTCTTTCACTTGCAAATAAAGCGCGTTATTGGGAAATGCGTTGAGTCACTCCTCCACTCCTAGAGAAGGTCCCCCTCCTCCCAGGCTGAGGAAAATTACAAACTCCAAGTGGTTTGGAGTCCCAAGGTTGTGGTGTTTGGAGACTTATCGGTTACCACATGTATACTGCCCGCCCGCGGCGATTTGTGAAGGTTATTCAATATTTAACGTGTTTATAATTAGTTCGTCTTTTTTCTCTTTACCTTTTTCTATCATTGTGTTGTGAACAGATCTGGTTGTATGGGACAATAGTACCTACCTCCGCAATGGAAGGATACAGTCTCAGAACGATCAAGAGCAACTTTTAATAGACTTATTCATAACTAGCGACCCGCCCCGGCTTCGCACGGGTGCAATATGAATGTATTATACATACAAACCTTCCTTAAGAATCACTCTATCTATTAAAAAAAACCGCATCAAAATCCGTTGCGTAGTTTTAAAGATCTAAGCATACATACGGACATACAGCGAAAGCGACTTTGTTTTATACTATGTATTGTTAATTATCGCAGTTTTTAGTTTAGGGTGCGTTAATAGTAGATCGGAACTGTGTGGAGTTTAGCCACGGTAATAATATAGTTTAACGGAGCAGAGCCGTGTGAATATGTAGGTGTTTCCACTAAAGTTGCGCAGAAATGAGCGGTGTAGGGCTGAGCTATGTAGCTGGGTGGACTGCAGCGGATTGGAGCTGGGACATCTATTCAGAGATGACTTTACGCCTTAAGAGAACAATAGGTGCGACTATAAGCAATCTATAATGACTCCTATAGTTAGTCATGGTGATAAAACAAAATGCTTAATTTTATTATAATTTAACAGTTTCAAAAGTGTCTGGCAATAATAGACGTAACGTGACTGATAACAATCCGTAGTGCTTTAATGTAATTTGTTCATTCACTACGCTTAGCGCCTTGATTGTGAAACTGACGAGCTGCATAATTTATAATTTATGAACCATGTCATATTTTGTTCACGACTCCGTGGTTTGTAGGCTCATAAAATTGTCATCTAACTACAGGGGATTCTTTAGATTCTCTCTTCTACGCATCCTCTTTTATTCCTCGCTCTCACTCCACGAAGAATCATGAAGAGTCTTCAGCTTCCACAGGAAACGACCAACAGTTTCACTTGTGTCTCGTGTATCAGTCACTCAAAGTTATAGAAGAACTTTTCATAATGCTTATTCCTAAAAACGTAACCCCACACTACTTATTTTCTCCTGTGTCGTGGGTGCGTTTATAAACATACAAGTTCACATATGTATCACACCTAGACCCGGAACAACAATCTGCGGATCACAAAGAGAGAGTCAAAGAGTTCCGTGCGGGAATCGAGCCAGCGATATGTTGCGCGGCATCCAATTGCCCAGCCACCTCACCAACCGTGCAGTCAATCCATTTGTCTCGAAATACTACAATGAAAGTAAACATTAAATACTTTCAATTGCGTGTAGCGTGGCAAGGTCACCACTTGCTGAAGCTTGCTTAACTGAATATAGACCTGAATGAAAGGAGGATAAGTCATAGCTTCACACTGTCATTGCTAAATTACGATTTGGAGTTTAAATAGCTCTATTTAAGTGGAATATTTTCAGTCAAGTTAAATTTTGAGACTTAGTTATCGTACCGTTCTTTAATTTGCACCGACCGAGACGATGCAAAATGGGGCACACACTTAAACTTAAATTATCTAATATCCGATTGAAGATTTTCCAGGGCTATATATACCAAAAAATGTGATTAGCAAAAAAACCTTATAAGAATGGTGTCCATCCGTCCATGAAAGCACAGAACCTGTGCATAACACACGTTCGCTCATGACCTATAATGTAACAAGAGCCCACGTTACTACGATACCCTTTCACATTGTAAACAGTGCACATTTCCACAAGAGTCGCAACTGGTTGCCGGCTTGGTTGCAGCCGCAGCGTCCAGTTGCCACACGCTTGCCCAACGGTCGCAGATCAACTCGTTTTGACACAGTGCGCACTGGGCGCCATGCTTGGCTAATCTCCCTTCTGATGTGGCGGCCATTTCTCTTGACTCATTTATGTCTGTGATTTTTTATTGATCGTTAATGCCTCTTACGTGTTGATTAAGATTGTCTCATTGTTATTGGTGGAGTCTGAATTTATTCTTGGACTCAGGAAAGATTTTCAGGTGTTTAGATTTCATTAATAACATTGAATTGGCCAGTAAGGAATATTTAGCTCACACTAGCCCTCTAAGTACCAAAATTTTACTTAGATAATAGATATAAACTAGTTCCAGTTATTAGGTAATTTCAGTAAACACATCTCATTTCATTAAAAAATACGTGTGAACTGAACTGTAATGTTCCGGTTCATTTGCAATCTCGAATCAAAGAATGAATGATTGTATAAGAAAGCACTGTGCCACAGAAATATCACTTCCATGAATATTTATAAACAACTCGTTTCTACCAGTCAAGGTCGTGTCAAGGTTGTATTGTGACGTCACCTTACACTGACACTTGTATCACTAGACTCCCCGGCCGCTGTGTGTGTGTGTGTGTGGTGTGATCTGATAAGATTACTAATGTGACATCATCATAGATTGGACAGTGTTGGAGGTTTTAATATAAATGCTTTGTTTTTCGTCATGACTTCATCACAGTTTGTATAGACAAGGCTTGTTCAGTCTGTTACACATAATTGTGATAGTCGTATTCAGGGTATGTTAAGTAGAATGTACATACTTACAACTTATGATATTATTTCAGGGGTTACTCACGTGAATATACTGAATAAAGCTCTACTAGTTTTGAACCACAGAGGGGTTCTTCCTCATGAGCAGCGTGCGCGGCTTTTCTCAGTATATGAGCAACCCGCGATTTTAGTTAATTTAGTATGTCTCACGATAGTTATTATAAAAACATATTATTTCGGGTTTATTAGGGACATTTATTTGTATGCAAGTGTTTTAGAAATGTGCGCTCCATTTAAGAGATTTGTAGAGGGGATTCTCAATATGGGATGTGCACATCTTTTATGTACATAATAATAATAACTAGATACCATATTTTTAAATAACAACAAGGCTCAAATTAATTAAGAATACACGCAAATAAACCGTATTAGTTTTCACCAATAACAATAAATTAAATATTTTTTCTGACTAACAATCAATCCAAGCAATTGAATATTTCTGTTTTTTATTACTGTAGGTAGGTAACTACTAAAGAGGTGGAAACCTGCGTGATTATAATCTCGAACAAGGATTTTGGATTTATATTCATAAAGTGATCACGTGAGGTTTCATGTTTGTATTTTTATGTTAAATATCTGAATACAACATAAGAACTGAACATGGACTATAATAGTGCCTGATTGCTATTTGATATTAATATGATGTAGGTAGAGTATCACCATTATTATTAATAGCAGGAAAACGTCCCTTAGTCCTCCACGTCGAACAATAGCTTGCCACTTGCATCCAATGGCGACGACAACTCTGTGCCTCTAGCGGTGTTGATTTGAACTTTAGTAAGATTTTAATTTAAATTAAATATACATTAAACATATTTTACTTATTTAACAAGGTCGTTGACTAAGATAAATACATTATCAAATATAGAAGTACCTACTCACTGAGCTTGACGTGCGCGGGCGCCGATTGTGCAAACTGTTGCGGAAGAAATTGTTTCAAAATATCACATTGACATTTCTTAAGGACGAGGAATGTGAATAAAATTA